CGGCCGTGAACCGCTGCGACGACACGCGCGGAAAGCGCCCTGAGGCCCCGCGTGCCGGCGGGGATTTCTTGCAATCAAAACCAGATTTTCTAACCTGTTTCAGAAGGGAACCGGCTTGATTTTCCTTTCCCATCGAACCTTGACCATCCGCTTTTGGGGTTCCCCGTCACTCACTCGTATTTCCCAGGCCAAGTACCTTTTCTCTCCAAAGAGAAAAGGTGGGGGGGAAGTTTGCACAGCTTGACAATCTGGGAGGTGTCGAATCACGACAAAAGTGAAAGAAACTTCGAAGGGCGTGGCTCCTACGGCCCACTTTCACTTTAGAGCAGTAAATTCGGTTCCGCCCGGCTGCTTGTAATCGCAACCTTGTGCGGCAAGATCGGAAACAAGCTTTCTCAGCCAACAAGTTACAACCCCAGACGGAACTGTTGTGCTTCCCCGCTCTTCGTTTCCTTGGCATTCGCCGAGTGGCTTATTCGGAGATGGATAGCTGACGTTTCAGAGTGCTATAATTAAAAAAGCCAAAAAGCAAAACTCGGGCAGCATTCGACTTTCAGCTGTTACTGTGTGTTGGGTGTGTGGGCCAGCGAGGTGTGTGAGGCTCGTTTGTCCTCTGGTCAGGTGGTGTCATGGTGGGTCCAGGAGGGCTGTGCGTTCGACCTTCCAGAAGGCTTGGCTTCACAGTGATCACCCATGATACTATTTCCCTCCGTGCAGTTGCTGTGATCCTTTCTCAGGACAGAGTGATTTATTAGAAAGGAGTGTAACTGTACTGTGTGGCGGTTGTGTGGTTTGCACTTAGAAAGTGCTGATAAACGTTTCAGGTAGAGAAGATGTCTTCCAAAACCAAAGACCAAACCCACTGCTGTAATTTCTGACGTAGTAGCAACCGGAATGCTGCCACGGGGTTTCCAGGCCTGGAGGCGTTACTGAAGGGCCCTGGTGGTGTAGTGGGTTATGCATGAGGCAACTAACTGCAAGGTCAGAAGTTCAAAACCACCAGCTTGTCCCCTGGAGAAGGGTGAGGATCTCTACGCCGTTGAAGGTTGACAGTCTTGGGCGCCCACAAGAGCAGATCCACTCTGTCCCATAGGGTCGCCGTGAGTTTGAATTGGCTCCGTCGCAGTGAGTTTGGGTTTGGAATCTTTATTGAAGCCACATCGTTCTCACACAGAATGGCTGGTGGTTTGAATCACCGACCTTTTCATGAGCCAAGCGCTTTAGCCAGTGCGCCAAACTGACATAAAATGCTTTTGAATTTAAGCTACTGATGTTGTTGAAAAATCATGTGACTTGGGTTTTTGGGGGCAAGGAAGAATAACCCTTAATGGGACAAAAGAAACTTTAAAATATACCTTATGTATACACCTACATGCATATATATGTAATAATATAACAAAAGGTCTGGCATTTTAACTATATTTAAGTGTACAGTGCATATATATGTAATAATATAACAAAAGGTCTGGCATTTTAACTATATTTAAGTGTACAGTTCATCATGTTTTGCAGCCAACACCATTATGTATTGCCAAAAGGTTTTCATCCCCCAAACAGAAACTCAGTGTCTCTTCAGCAGTAACCTCAGTCCCTCTTCCTCTCAGCCAGGTGTACATTTTTACTTCTCTTACTGCTTATCTGATCTTTGAAGGCCTTAAAACACTGCAGAACACCTGTCAGCTGCCTCCTCATTAGCAGCTTGCCCCACACCATTGAGTTGCCCCTGATGGTCTAGGGCTGTTGAGAGTCACTATCAACCAAGAACAACAGCAGCAAGCAATTATTGAAGGGAGAGTCCAGTGTGGTGGGCAGAAAGAAGTGCTAGTGGCAGTTTTCTTAGCTGTCTGATGATGATTCAACAAGTGTTAGAATTGATTAGCTCATGTAAGTGCATTGTTACGCTGTGAACACAAAATATGACGCAAAACTCTCCTAGTGTTAATTTTTTAAAATGAAAAATCCAGATATAGAGACTATTGCTCAGTTCTCGGTTCAAGATAGCATTTATTTTAATTACCAGAGTGGTTGGCCTATTGTTTTACATTAAATTACAAGATAATTTAGAATCTGTATGCTGAATTACTTCTAAAAGTTCACACTTACTTATCCTGCTTAGTTACGGGTATCTCTTAGATCAAAGAAAATACCTTAAGAAATAGAAAAGTTTAAGAAATTTGACTACATATTAACCACTTTGAATGTGTGTGTAAAGAAGAATTAGGGCTATGTAGAACCTTACTAATTTAGAACACATAAACAGTGCTGGCCCAGTGGTTAAGTCCATGTCTGTTCACCAACCAGCTGGTTGCTCTGTGGGAGAAAGATGAGGCGGTCGCTCTGCTTCCATAAAGATTACGGATACTACGTGGGACAGTTCTCTTGCCTATAGCGCACTAAGGGTTGGCATAGACTTGATGGTAGCAGATCATTTTGATTGAACTGAAGGGAGCTCTGCTTATTGTAAAAAAAAACAAAACTGCAACATTTTGATGTGTTGAGTAATTGTTACACTGTTTTGCTTTCAAGGATGGCACAAAAGAAATATCTTCAAGCAAAATTAACCCAGTTTTTAAGGGAAGATAAAATTCAACTTTGGAAACCTCCATATACAGATGAAAATAAAGAAGTTGGTGAGGCGTTAAAGGTATTTTAAGACATGAATAACTAGCATTATGAATTTCCTTGGTAAATCAGATTTTGAAATCTCCCCAAATCGCCAACCACAGCCAAACTTTTGGCATAACCTTTGGCATCAGTAATAAGCAAGTACCCACTTGTTTCTGGGCATTGACAAGCTTGTTTTTCTTTAATAAGGTTTTATTTTTATGATAATGTCCTTTAATTTCTCAGGTGTATTAACCCAGAAACTAATTTTGTCTGCTCAGCACTATCAATATAAGTTAATGCATTATGTTTTTAGTGTGACAGTGTCTTGGTTGTTTCCCAGTTCTTGCTGCTTGATCTATAAAACAGTTTTCCCTCCTTCAGTTTTTTACCCTCACTTAGCAGCCTTCAGTATGGTTTACAGCTCAATATATTAAAGAAGACCCAAATCCTCACAACTAGATAACATGATAAATAGAAGGTTAAAGTCAAGGATTTCATCTTGCTCAGAAGCCGCACTGGAGATCAAGCAGCACATCGCATTGGGTAAATATGCTGCACAAGACCTCCTGGAAGTGTTGAAAAGCAAAGATATTACTTTGAGGATTAAGGTGCGCCTGTTATTTTCAGTTGCCTGTTATACATGTGAAAGTTGGACATTGAATAAGGAAGACAGATGAAAGATGAATTGCTGGATTTGAATTTTGGTGCTGGAGGAGAATATTGAAAGTACCTTGGCCTGCCAAAAGAACAAACAAATCTCCTTAGAATGCTCTTAGAAGCTCCTTAAAAGCTCCTCAGAATGGGCCTTAGAAGCCAGGATGAGACTTTGTATCACAAACCGTGGACCTGTTATCAGGAGAGACCCATCCCTAGTCTAGAACATCATTGTTGGTAAAGTAGAGGGGTAATGAAAAAAAGGAAGACCTTGGATAAGCTGGCTGGGTGCAGTGTTCGCTGAGCATGGATGAGCTCAAACTAAGACAAGTTGTAGGGTGGCACGGGCAGGGTTTCCTCCCCTTGCACATAATGTTGCTGGGAGTTGGAACCGACTTTACTACACCTACCAGCAAGTCTTTTTTTTTTTTTTAATGAGTTTTGCCTATTTTCATTTAGTTTACCTTATTACTTGTTTAACTTCTTCAAAAATGTAATGCAATCTGTTCTCTGGAAATCTGCCTGACTTCCTCTCTGTTCAAGTGGTTTCTGCTTCCTCACTAGTCCTAACTACGTTATTCCCCTACTGTGGGTTGCTGTCTCTGGCTTCCTAGTTTTCGTCTTGTGAGTTTGTTGGACTTTATTCACTTGACTTATGGGTGGTGCTGCCTGGGGCACTGGACTCAGGTTGATGTCTGCTGCTGTTGATGCTATCCAAAGAGCTTTTAGAATTTTTATTAAGATTGTCTAAGAATTTCTTAATTTTTTTTCTCTGTCTTGAAATGCCTTTCCTTTTCCCTGGTATTTGAGGGGCAATTTTTCTGGATTATTGGTTGGCAATTTTTTCTTTCAGAATTTTATATATGCCATCCCATTTCCTTCTTGCCTGCATTTTTTCTGTTGAAAAATCAGAATTTGGTCTTCCTGATTCCCCTTTATAGGCAACTTTCATTTTTACTAAGCTGCTCTCAGTTCTTTCCTGGTCTGATTTTGGGAAGTTTCAGGATGATACATCACCTTGATTTTCTTTTGGAGTCTCCTGTTTGGGGTTCTTTCAGCTTCTTGGATGGTTATTTTCTCTTTTCCATGATGTTAGCAAAGTTTTCCAGCGAGTCTTGAATAATTTTTTTGGTGCTTTTGTTTGTCTCTTCTTTTTCTGGAGTTCCTGCAGTGCATATGCTATTACTGTTGATAACATTCCACAGGATTCTTAGGCATTCTTTGGATTTCTAAAATCGTATGCATCACTGTTCTCATAGCTTGGTGTTGAGAGAATTACTTTCTAGCTCATTACTTCTACCTTCCATTTCTCCAATTCTGCTTTGCTTCTTTAGTGTATTATCTCTTTTCTAATATTGTCCTACTTATGTTCTGGATTTCTATGTGGTGTTTTTGTATGGTATTCTTTTTTTCATTTATTTATTAGATTCCTCTGGTAGTGTTTTCCTGAATTAGTCTATCCCCTCGCCCCCACTCTAATTATCTTGATCTTTCCCCCTCCATCTTTTGAATGCACCTAAGAATTGTTCTTTTGAATTCTTGTTCTGCTAGTTCCAATGATTCCATACATGGAGCACTTGTTTGTGCCATTCTGCCTTGTTTCTTCCTATGTTGGCTGTCTCCAAGGCATCATGGTGCTTTTTCATTTGTGTTTATTTGCTGGAGTGAGTGGATAGTTCTTGTTCATTAGGTGCGGCTGTTGGAGGTGCAGAGGTGGCTAGGCCATGTGCGGACAGTTAATCATTAGTAGGTGGAACAAGACAAACTTAAAAAAAAAAGACTTGAATCTACTGTAGCACAAAACAAGCCAACAAACAAATATGCCAAAAAAGAAAGCAAAGAAACAGAAAGACTCCAGGCAGCTGAAAACAAAAGAAAAGGAAAAGAAGAAAAAGGGAAAAAAATCTCTAGTTAGCCCTAGTATACTTAGAAGGGCTACCAACTTCTTTTGGAATAGATTGCAGCAGCCGCTGCGGTTCCAGCACACAAATGTCCACCCCTGTCGAGCTGCTGATCTAGAAAAGCTGCTCTTGACACTGGTCTCTGCTACAGAGCATTTGAGGGGTGGTGGGGTAGTATTTTCTCATACCCCACTAGTGCAACTTTGCGAGGTGTTCACTTTTACCACAGACTGGGAGAGTGTGTGACCCCTGTTCTCGAAAGAAAAGGGGGGGAAAGCCCACATAGCTAGTCTGACAACCCAAGGTATTGGCCATGACCTTGTGGAGAGCTGGAGTGTATAGACACCCCTTTACCCCAGCCTATTCCACTGGTTTAGATCAGGGAAAAGAAAAATGCACTTTGCTGACTCGGTAGCCATAGTCCACTGGCAGATGAGTGGGCTGTGAGTCCTCAGTGAACTCAGGAGCCCCGAGGAAGCAGACATGACCCAGTCCCCACCATGAAAGCTTCCGGGTGTGGTGGACCCTCTTGATGCTCCCTCCACACTGTGCCCAAATCCATTCGTTGCTTGTTTTCTGCGAGTATGTTTTCTGGCTCACCCAGCCTTCCCCTGTCCCCTGAAGAGATTCAAGGCTCCAGGCTTTTCCTACATAGTGATTTTCTCCCATGGTTTCTGTAGCACACCTGCCTAGGCTGCCTTTTTTTTTTTTTTTTAAACGGGAAGTTACAGAGCTTACTTTTAATCTTACAAGTCATAACCTTCTTTTCTCCTAGAATAATCCTCGTTATCTCCACTTTTTCCTATTGGGCCTGTTTGTCCAGCCTGTTTTCTTTTTCACCAGGATTCTCTAATTCTCTAAACCTTGCAAGAGAACCAGCTGAGTTTCTTGCTTCAGAATCCTGCGTGGACTGGAGTGAGTTGTGTCTTCGTGTTCTTTTGAGTTGGTAGTATATTAAATTGCATGTTGTTTTTTGTTTTTTTTAATAGGACCTTGCTAAGAAATACTCTGATAAGCTAGAATGTTGTGAAAACGAGGTGCAAAAAATAATAGAAGAAATACGGTGCAAAGCCATCGAACGTGGGACAGGAAATGAAAATTTTAAAACAACAGGAATTGCTACAATTGAGGTATTTTTACCTCCAAGACTAAGAAAAGTAAGTGCCCTCTCTAAATTGACATTTGTACATCATTTAATGAAGTCATCGGATAGTCAGTTTTTAAAATGAAAACCAATTTGTAATTATTTTCAGCTATTTTCCACGTTGAACATTTTATTGACTTAAAGGTTAATTGTGTGGCACCTTCTCCAGGCCACATACGAGGCAGTTCTTCCCTTGGGACTTCGAGATTGTCGTGAAACCGTGCATCACATCCCCATCTTCTTGAAGTTCCAATACAAGTTTAGGAATAATACGAGTAAAGCACTTCAGTGTTATAAAGCGTGCTGTAGGACGCGTCACAAAGACATATGTCCTTCTCATGATGGAGGAGAAGGTGATGACATCGGCTTAGTGCTCAAACAAGTGGGCCCTCTCGTGGCAGAGCCAGGTTCTCAGAAGTTTACGACCAGACATGTAATCGTATCAGGAGTGCTGGCTGACATCTCACGACAAGTTGGTGCAGTAGAGCTTTTATGTCTCAGAGTTATCACATGACCCAGCAGTTCTACTCCAAGAGAAAAGGAACTTGTGTAGACTGTTCATAGTGCCATTAGTTACAATAGCCAAAAAGTGAAAATAATCCAAGTGCTTCAACTGAGAAGTGGATAACTAAAATGTCGTATGTCTGTATTTAGTAGACGCATTCATGGATTGCTGTTATATGGCCTTTCTAACTATAACCTTGAGACAAAAAGATTTGGTGGGACTCTGAGATTAAGGAGCTTGTGACCCACCAAGGGGATCCAACAGATTGCTAATAATGTAAATAAGGTTCATGGCGCCCTTGTGGGGTTGAAGCCAAGTGAATAAGGTGCGTGGAACCCCAGCTAAAGGACTGGCCAGATTTGCTATCCAATTAGGTTTAAATTGAGCCAGAGGTGGAAAAGGTGATTCTCTACTCCTCTTAAAGTGGGAGGAGGTCAGGTGCCTCCAAGCCACCATTTTACACTGTACAATGGATTACTAGTAAGCAGTAAGTAGGAATGACATTCTGATTCATGCTATGTGGGGTTAAGGGGAGAGGGGTTCCCCACAAATCATCATAGGTCCGGTAGGCGCAATTGTATAGCGATAATAAGTAAGGATTATTTTCCATTATTTTCCCGCCTGGAAGTCTTTGCTAATGGCAACCCTTCACTGTTGAATTTTGAACGACATTGGCTTGCCCAATGAGTTCCCTTCCTACAGCGGGGGCATAGTTCAGGTTCTTTTAAACCCGATTAGGTGGCCCTGGCCCATGCTCTGACGCAGGCTGCAGTTTGCTTTTCACAGCCAGGCTGATCGGCCTGTGCTGTCTGCACTCTCTTTGAAGATAACCTGTCTTCCCACAACTAAAGCACTTCTAGGCCTGATGTAATTTGCCAATGCAGCTGCCATGAGGTTGGCCTTGTACTCTTCTGTCTCTACAGCCCTGCATATCCTGATACAATGTAACAGCGTGCTCTGTTCCTTGAAAGGGGGTATGGCAGCTTGACATGATGTGTTCGCGTTCTCAAATGCTAATGTAAGAATAAGATTATCCGCTGCCCCTTTGCCTGCTATGTTCTTGTGGACAGCATCTTGCAACCTGGATGTAAAATCTATGTAAGGCTCATCATTCCTTTGCTTCACTGCCGTGTAACTTGGCTGCCTGCATCCAGATGGTATTATTTTCTCTCAGGCCTTTAAGGAGACTTCCCTCACCTGAGTGAATGTCTGCTCATTAAACTGCAGTTGGGACTCAACTGTGATGTAATTCTCATCTCCCAGCAGCTGATGAATCCCTATATCTATATCCTCTTCTGCATTTTTTCGAGCACATGCAAGGGCTGCTTCGGTCCATAACATTTGATACTGCAAAGATTCTGAAGGTGAGAGGCAAGCCTTTGTAAGCGCCCTCCAGTCTGTGAGGACCCAATATTCAGAATCTGAGAGAGATTTTATCATACTAATAACAAATGAGGAATCTGGACCATAGTTAGATACAGCTTGCTTGAGATCTTTCAGTAGCTTAAAGGGAAAGGCAGTATGTTGCCGTTCTAGAATCTCTTGTGCATGCTGCCCATCAGGCTGTCTGTCTGTAACTCTCACGGGATAAGCCACTGTAAATTCTAAATCTGCTTCCTGGGCTATATGCTCTTCTCTACCTGTGAAAGTAATGGCATCTCTCTACACCCTGCTTCTTTGCTTTTTACTTCCAGAACCTCACCTTCTTTGTTAAATCTCTCCACTTGCTTTTCTTTTCTTTTCTTTTCTTTTTTTTTAATTTTTTAAATCATTTTATTAGGGGCTCCTACAACTCTTATCACAATCCATACAGACATCAATTGTGTAAAGCGCATTTGTACATTCATTGCCCCCACTTGCTTTTTTTTTGACTCAAATCTCATCTCTCCCTCCGGCACTGCTTGATAGTATTGTGATTCCCTATGCTATATTCTGGTGGTGGCGCAGATGCTTCTAGTCTGATACCTTTTTCTTATTCAGACTTGGCTTTCTCAGCTCCGTTTAACATCTCATCTGCCTGATACTCATTTTGCCTGCTTCTCACCTGATTTAAGTCTGCGTCACCTAGAGGCTTCTCACTGCTCTGTTGGTCTTGTTCCTTTACTCTCTCACCCTCCAGTGGCTCCAACACTTCTTTAATCTGCACCCACAAAACCCAGGTCTCCATGGTTATGCTCTGTCCTTCCCTGTAAGCTTTTCTTAAGTTAATGGCTACCTTATCCCAGATCTCCATATCAAAGGTTCCTGACTCTGGAAAAGAAGAAGGATTACATTTCTTTATCAATTGAAAAACTTGTTCATTCTCATTTGCTACCTTTACCTTTTGTTTCTTCAAGAGGTGGCAAAGCTTGTTACCATACTCTGTATCCTTGCTTTTTGCTTGACCCATATCTTACTCGGACTGAAAACCCACTTAAAAAAATAAACTCAAAAAAACTCAAGAAAAGTTTTCCCGATTCACTCTCTCTGTCCGATCAGGCCGTACAATTGTTACATGGGATATAACTCAAGAGTTCTTTTCCTACAAGGCCACACATGATGGGTGCCATCTGTGGGGTTAAGGGGAAAGGGGTTCCCCCGCAAATCATCACAGATCCGGTAGGCACAATTGTACAGCGATAATAAATAAGGATTATAGTAAAGTCATAGAGAGCATGAGAGTTAGAGTAGAGATTGGAATAAATGGAGTCAGACACAATTCATGGTAGCATTGTTCACCTCAGCCCTGCTTAATGGTCCTCGTGGGGGGAACCCGGCCACGAGAGCAGGAGCAGCCTCGGGGACCGGGAATTCAGAAGCCTTTCTTATTGCTAACCACACATTATATCACTTTAGGGGGACATTATTATAGAATCACGTCAGAGGAAGGGGCAGTACAATAGGCATACACATTGTAGGAAGGGGATCTTATGATAGAGGTGTGCCTATAGGAATGGGAAGGTGTAGGGGTATACATGTGACAAGATGTGACAAGATGGGCGGACCCTAGATTTATGATGGCAGCCTAACCTTGGTCATCCTAGGGCAGGTTTGACCTCTCCGGAGTCTCCTACAAGGAAACAGACAACTACTATCCTTATCAGAAGGGAGTGGGCCCTACTTGTGGGATAAACTGGTGTCTGCTTTGGTCTAGATGGCTTGTTTTAGTCTCTTTATATCTCAGAAGAGATTCGCTCAAAAGACACCCTATGTTAATCCTGTCTTATGAATATAACAAAGACAACCCATTTGGAGATGGAACTGTAAACACAGGTGTAGAGGTTAGGATTTACAACATATTTTTGTGAGACAATTCATAACGTTCTGTAAGTATTTAGAAACTGTTAAATCATACACTTTTAATAGGTGAACTTTGTGGTGTATAAATTATGCCTCAAGCAGTTGTTCTAGGACCAGTAAAGAATTCTAGGTAGGTAAAAAAATCTCATGCCAGTTTAAAAATATTTTTTTAAAGGGCAATGAACTTAGAACTCTTCTTTACTGTTAACAAGTATTTGGGAAACCAAACTACCAAACAGAAAGCCAGTGGAGAATGAATAGGTTCTAACAATACAGCGCCTGCCTCCTTCCTCTTAGAGTCTCACTGGATGGTGAGGAGGAAGTGTCTTCTGCATAGCAAAGTGACCCTAATGTTGGAGGTGGTGGGTTGGGTCCTGTATAGCATAGGGGAGCTCCATTGGTTAGACTTGTAAGACTCTTAACTTCCTACCAGAGGCTAGCGGCCCACCTGGTATTGTGTCCTTTACTGATAATGGTACTGTCTTGAGGATGTTCTGGTTACCAGTTTAGTATGACAACACAGTAATGTTCAAGAGGCTTCTTGGAAGCATGCATTGTAATCTTTGACCAATGACTTAAATACTTACATCCTTTGATCTTTCTGAATTCATAGACCACCAACGAGTATCTTGAAAATTTCTCAAATCAAGTACATTTTATTTTGTTTCTTAAACAGGACAGGAAAAACTTGTTGGAGACCCGATTGCACATCACTGGCCGGGAACTGAGGTCCAAGTAAGTACTGTGTGCTCTGGGGCCCCAGGTGCTCTTGACCATGTTCATACTCACCCTGCCCGAGAAAAAGGAAGGGAAAATGAGAATTCGAGGTTGCATGACTTAGTTAAAATGGGAACTCAAGACTTGCAACACTCTTCTTTATTTCACGATATGACTTTAAATCAGGTCAGGACTTAGGAGCCCACCACATAGTAGAAACATGATCGGTGTTTTAAGTGAATGAGTGGGTGCTTTTAAAAGGAGACAACCAGATAGTGAATTGCAGTTACTAATGCAAAGTGTTCTGATCTAGTCTAGACTCTTGGTCTGTTTTTAAAACGAAAAAAAAAAAAAAAGTGACAGCCTACTAGAACCCATTGCCCATTGCCATTGAGTCAGTTCTGACTCATGGTGACCCTATGGGGCAGGGTAGAACTGCTCCTTAGGGACTGTAAGTTGTTTTTTTTTTCTGTTTTATTAGGGGCTCATACAACTCTTATCACAATCCATACATACATCAATTGTATAAAGCACACTTGTACATTC